GAGTAACGGTGCGCGTATAACGGCAATTTTACAGGGGGTTTATCGATGCGGGGATCTATCGGTGTGGGGTTGTATCGATGTGCATAATGCAAAAATTTACTAAGGGGGAGTATCGGTGCGGGGGAGTAACGGTGCGGGGGAGTATCGGTGCGGGGGAGTAACGGTGCGGGGGAGTATCGGCATGACCCCGAATAGAGGACGGGTGAATCTTTTTAAAGGTCAGATATAACCTGTGACGCAAAATAGTATGTAAAATTCTTCAAATAGGCCTTATAGAGCAAAAGATAAACTCGAATTCGTTAAAATGTAAAAGTCGACAGGTACCATTATCTAACAGGAGTGCCACTGTATTATGTTTTGTCATTGTAACATTGAGGCGTTCCTACATGTTCACTTTGCTAACAGCTCAGTTGACCTTTGACCACGAGCCCTGTTTAATTTTAGTAACAGTTGAAAGCAGTCACTCGACCCTGTCCTGACCACGTGCTTAGTTTGCACCGCAACCCCTCTGTCCACGGGTTTCTTCCTCTTGCAATCTGAACGTGCCTTGGGGAAGCCTCTGGGAGTATACAGACAGGCGCTCTGCGCCGATTTGGCAGTATAGAGTTGGGAGTTATAGAGTTAGATGTGGAAGGTGAAGGTCGAGCGAGCAGTTACCTGTCACTGTACGTGTTGGGCTGTCACCCAGAGGGCAGAGCCCTGTACGTAGTTTATTGTGTTGAGTAGAAATATTAGAAAGAACCCCGTTTTGATGGTGGCAGCACATTTAGTTTAAAAGAAACAGAACCTTTCAATATGCACGCACGAGTAGACCTACGTACCGCACGATAATGAAGCCATTATCATCAAACTCTTTTTTTATACTCTCTGTAACCCAGGAAGATGTACCTTCTTCGTACTTGTGTCCTGTTTTGAACAAAAAATTATGTTCAGTTTCTTTGCCCCCCACTCAATTAAACTTCTCTGTCTCTCTCTCTCTCTCGGTCTCACTCTCTCTCTCTCTCTCTCTCTCTCTCTGTCCCATCTCTCTCTCACTCTGTTCTCTAGTTGTTTAAGGGCAGTGCACGATGCAATTACAAAATATAACAATAAACAAAACACTGTCACATAAATCCTCATATTCTTCATGAAAATTTGTCAACATGAAATTTACTGAACATATTAAGAATGAATAGACCATTTCTTAATGCTCATGGTGCCCGCCATTCCACCAGACTGGCGAGATCGCCAAATATGATAAAACATTAATTAGCATTTCTTGTCTACAGAGGTCACTCAGCTGAAAGTTATGCTCGTGCATCGGGATTTCCTAGCCAATAACGTTACCTTCCGGCGTGTCTGCCATCCTCTTATAACGCTGTTGTTTGTCTACAACTCGACAGTCGTACAGGTGCCCGATCCAGTAAGACTTTGACGGTATAAAGTACTGAAATACGGACAGATTATGTAATTCTAGGCACACGCTATATATAAAGCCGATAACCTACATTCGTGGGTGTCTAGATACGGGCTTCGGATCACGTGATGGGTCATTTAATTTTGAAGACCATGACCACCTTTGCGTAAATCCTGTAATACGTTACAAGGAGAAAGTGTTCGCTATTTATTTACCATTATTTATTTTAGAAAAAAAGAGCTCTCTTTTGCTGTTGCAAGATATGCAGATCGCTGTTAGAAGCACATATATCGTCATGTTAACATGTTAGTGTTGCCCAGTATGCTATCTGACATTGGCTACTGCTCTTTATCAAAACATTTCTGGCTTTCTCCCAAGAACACTGACCTTATTGATTGTCGATCAAAATTATATTTTGCTCAGTTCAACTTTCTTTCTCTTATTATTCATTTCATAGTATGTTTTGTCCACGGGGAAAGTTTGGAATAGAATCACTTTGAATACACATACTGCATATATGGGTAAATGAAAAAGCATCAAATATGCATTATCTCACAAAGTTTATTATTTATCGATGAAATTTAAGTAAGTGCTACTGTACAGAGCTTATTCAAGGATCTGGGTATAATATAATAAATATTGGCTGCTTAGCACTATAAAGGGATAAGCACTGTATCCGAACGCGTTTTCCAGCTCTTTTTATTATTGTTATTTTGCAACGGAACCTGGAACTGGAAGTATAACTGGTTATACAGTGGCTGACTTAGAGGGGGGGTCAGGGGAGTCTTGACTCGGTTTCTGAAAAATATATCGCACCAATATCCCGTGTCGTTGAGCAGGCCCAAATCCCACACCAAGAGGGCGATGGTCGGCTTTGCATCAGAGGCCTGTCGTTCTGGACCCCCCCTTCAAATAATCCTGGATTCGCCCCTGGTAACGTAGGCCTATGTATAATGTGAATAATGTCTACAAATCGTTTAAAGACAACTTCCCTATTTTGTCCCGTTTCTATTTTATTGTAACGTAATGTGCAGTAAAAAATTAGGTGTTGGCTCACCAGAAGTTGGAGACAGCTAACAGTTATTAAAAACATAGGTAACGTATATATCGATGGATATCAAACTCGCTATATATGACAATGTAACAATGTGTAATGTGCATTGTAGAAACAAACGTACTCGCATGTATGACGTCTCACGCACTCACGTAGTTGCGCCGACGGATAACTAACAACGTAAACAACAATCTACACGCAATTTGGTAACGTATGTATCGGTAGCATATCTATCGACACGTACGTTACCGATACATACGTTACCAAATTGCGTGTAGATTGTTGTTGTTGTTTAAGCTACGTTGTTAGTTGTCTGTCGGCGCAGGGTATTATATTGTAGACGAACGTCGACGTCATCTGTACAAAGTAATGGGGAACGGACTGCGGTTCCTACAGGACTACCATTCCTGTCATTATGGCATTGCGAACACTTCACGTTGTCGTTTTTCCTTCCACACGTTGGATAATCGGTCAGCTTCATGCAACGAATATGACACGATATGACCCCCACGATATCCTTACATGTGTGAAAGGTAAATGGAAGCAAGAATTCTTAAGAGAAATTGCTTTTGCGTCGAGGAAAATTATATTTGGCACCCAAACCCTGTGTAGATTCGATCTTTCTATGTGTTTTTGTCTGTCTCCGTGTTTGTTCGTGCCGTCGTGACAGGGATGGCAGTCTGCTAGGAACCGTATTCCGTTCCCCATTACTTTGTTCCGGTAGAGGTGACATTCGTCCTAAATACTAACCCCAGTATTCCGACTAACCCCAAGCCCGTAGCCAGGGGGGTTCGGGGGGTTCGAAAGAACCGCTCCTTTTGTCAGGTAAAGGTCCATTTTGGGAAAAATTTTATCTAGTTCACATAAATTTCATTATAAAAGGTCCACTTTTTCAGAAAAAGAACCCCCCTATTGAATTTGCTGGCTACGGGCCTGAACCCTAACCCGTATTAATCATATGGGTCCCAGGTCTTCCATTCTTAGGACTGCCAGTGAACCCTGTGACACCGTGGTGTTACTATTACATTATAGTACGATTACATGAAGATCGCGCAAAAGTGTTTTAAAAATTAGCCGATTTTTTAGTAGCTCAAGCGTTTCCCCAAATGTCTTTGCGCGAAATTCAAAATTCCACATCTGTGTGGGCATCTGGTTTAAATTTCGGCTCAGTGTGGTGTCAGTCTAACAAAACAACATTTCATATTAACAGCATTATATAGCATATTTATTTATGCCCAATAGACAAAAATATACACTCCAAGTTGGCATATTAATAATGGTTTTAAGCTTTTTGCATGTTTATCATGATTCACAGTGTAAAGCTATAGATATCTGTCAAATACAATCTGTAGCCCATGCAAATTATACAAAATAAGATGACAAAATGTTATTACCCGTGCCACAGATAATCCATTATTAAGTACTGACATCTTTAATTTATCATGATTTTATTAGAAGAAAACACTTGCTCCTGTACTTGTATTAAATCCCTTTCATGATAAATTGCTTTAACTCTACAGGTGATGTTTAGCTTGAGTCAGATCACAGGTATGTTTTAGGTTACCCCTTATTTGAATTCTGCCACAGGTGTTTCTAGTTCTCTTAACAACTACTGCTTAGTACCAACTGTGCAATAACATGTCATTGTATTTAACATTAAAACCACTAACATCAATTCACTGGTTCAAAATGCATCTTACTGGTGAATTGGCAAAGAATTCTTATTCTTAACAAAATATGGCAGTGTAACCTTAGTGAAGTATAACAAAATTACATGAGAGTAATCTTGTTTTCATTTCAAAGGCAGAGGTGGGGGGAGAGAGGGAGGAAACTGGAACACCCTCACATACCCCTTTCAACTTCCCCACCAATTTATAACTTTCCATATGCCTATGGACCTGTGGCTTTGTCATATATTATGTCCATAAGTTTGGTGACAACTAACAAATCTTGGCAAGTAAAACCAGTGACATGCCCTACCAAGTTGCTAACTTTATTTTAGCCAATAACAAACCCATCTCACAACATTTATATGTAATCATCGACATCCTTTACCATTTAGGCCTTTTCTCCAAAATTCACGACTACTGCTTCTGCATTTTATTCCAATGGATCTTAAATTGACAGATTTTCCTAAACAGCTTTCAAAGACACCACCAATTTATTTCCTTTTTTAGTGATATTCAGATATTCATTAATGAAAAAATGCTTTCTGCAAAGCAAATAAATGATTATGATAAATAACTTTTGGACCTTAACAACTAAATGTCTGGGCTTTTTACTACCTTGTGGTGCACATAACTTTCTGTTCTACTTTGGTAAACCAGTTTTCATTACCAGTGCCGTGACATCTGACAATACTATCTGATCTTCCTTCAGTCTACTGTGGCAAAATATTTTGTATATTTCATGGAAAAAAGTGCAGCTGCATAAAAAATAAGGTACATAATAAATTTAAGATTAGCTACAGCAATGTTAAAGCACACACCATTGTATGTATATATATATATGTATATAGATATATATATATATGAATGTATAACAGTATGTAACAAATGAAAATTTACATAGACTGTACATTAGCATTTAGTGTCGTTTGACAAGAACTATATACAGGACCAGAAATAAATATAAAGGTAAAACAAGAATACTGCAGAGTCAAATAAACAAACCTATACTCAAGCAATGGGACAGTTAACAAAAGAATCATTTGTTGTGTAAACCCTTTTAAAGGATCATGTGCTTATAATGCTGGTCTTCACATAGTTGAAGCTATTAAATAGTCTGGGGTCCAAGCAAAAAGATAATAACAATAATAAATAATAATAATAAAATAAAATAAAACAAAAGGCCTCTCAAAATATGGTTGGGTTTATAAATACATGCAAATATGACAAGACATATATATGGATCAATCTTATGTTAATACAAATTGTATTCCATGGATTTTACTGTTTTGGGGAATATGTGATTCAAGAGAAGACCTCTACGATTTTGGCTGCTAAACATCATTTCATGAAACAGGCAGAGCTTTTTGAACGTGTCAGTCTTAATTATGAAGACACATCTAAGAGCATCCAAATAATAGTAGTATTCCAATAATCTGTGGTATATATTGCATTTCCCTTGAATGCAAAGTTCAACCTAGTAATTAAAACTGACACTATTTAAATTTTTCCGGTTCTCATTTGGATGTAAAGTTTCTCTAAAGATATTTTCTGAATAGCATAAGGATATTTTTGGCATACAAAATATGTCAACAATCAGGGCTCAACATTTAAACCAGTGTGTACAATTAAAAGAACTATTGTTTGTCTTATTGCTATTAATGTTAAATGGTAAAGCTGCAAATTCTCTGAACATCAGCAAACCAAGCTATTGCTTCATATTCATTTACAAAGCTGAATATAGTGTATATAAGTATAGTCTATGTCACAACCATCTACCCATTATTTTGTTTGCTCTTTTGCTATAGGAGTGTGATACAATTATATACATTTAACGTATAACAGTCCAGAAACCGGCTTCTTGTGCATAGTTTTCCATGGTCAAATGAAAAGTTTCCAAAGTTCAATAACTAGATTTTATCAATGATGTACGACATATACCATCACAACTACACATGTATTTGTTCATTAAGTTTACATTTGATAAATTCAATCTCCTCATTTTTTTATGTAAACGGAAGTGCAGTCACAAAAACAAACTTCTTTGAATAACTTTCTCTAGATTGCATTTTGCAACGACCAAATAAAACCTTCAAATTGTGACTTAATAATGTAATCCATGATAACAGCAAATATTGTGAACAACAAATACTTATGTCGTCCTTTTAGAACTACTATATCAGCTCTTACTACCATAACCCAGTGATGGATTAATCAAATTATTAAGTTAATCATGACATGTTAAATATATCATCATAATTATTAATCTCGCTCACACCAGTATTTAACCAATACTGTTCACCATGCCCAATCCCTACAACACCAGTGCATTACAAGTATATTACAATTCCAGTTTGGTCCTTTGAGGTTCTTAAAAGCAGTATACATTCCTATAATAATAATGTATTGATAACTGTGCTGATTGTTGCCTTGTACATAAAGCTGGTTATAAAGACTCAGATTCCTTCTTTTGCTCAAGATGTGTTAGGTGAGCTCTGTGAGCACAATGGACTTTTATCTCATCCCAGTTCCATATCAAGTAAGGTGAGACATGGTACTTAAAAATTTTTTAAGTCGACATTGCACCAGATGAACTTCAGATGATCTTCAGTACATAATTGTTTGTCTCAACATGGTTCCATATTGTGTTAGGTGAGATTTGAGAGCACATTCTTTCACACAGCACTGTATTTAAGGCCAGCTGAAAAAAAAAAAAAAAGGAATGGAAAAAATATTTCAAAATGTTTGAATAATGTCCAGGTGAAATCTCTTGCTAAACTGATCTGCATGAATATTGTGGATATTAATGGATCTTTGATCAATTGATTACTATGAATTTACCACGTCTTTATATATATATAAAAGTCAAAAGATCTAAATGCTTACTAAGTCAACAGATTATAATAAAAAAAAGACAACAGTGAACCAATACCACTGATTAAACACAGATGAAATAAGAAACATACAAAATCCAGCAAAAAAACATACTTATATCAATATATATGTAAGTTTAAATAGATTTAAAACCAAAAACAATCTAATATGCATTGTGATAAGTTGAATGGATTCTACAGGCTGCCACAAAACTTGAAAGACCAGTAATCTTAGTGCTAAAAGTCTTGAATAAAAATGAAATAAAATAAAAATTTGATTTTCTACACAGGTTTCTTAGTTAAAAAGCCACCATGCGAAACTGGATTAAAACTGATGGTACTTTACCTCAATCAACTCATTAAATGTGTTTGTTAAGTTGGTCTTGTAACCCCTTGGGCTTACATTAGCAAATATATTCACCCCCATTACTTTCAAATAGCTTTGGTTAAAGAAAATGAAATGAACATGTATGACTTTGATAATTTTCAGCTTGGGGCGCTCAAACTGTGAGTGATTCATACTTTTTTTTCATTTTCCTTAATGGTCTGATGACTGAATTTACTAGAGTAAGCCCAAATACAACTAGGTGACATGGACGAAGAAATGTCACATAAACAAAGATAAAAAGATGTCACACAGAAATAAAAACCACACAATGGGATAAAGTTGGGCTTGGGTTGGGGGAAGCAAGGTGACTAATATTATATGAATCTGACCTCCACAAATCCTATTAGTAACAGTAAATGCAACACCATATTCCACTGTTTGTTGAGAGGAGATGAACATGTCCATTTTGAGCAAACTCCTCACAGTATTTCTCAAAATATTTCCAATTTTTGTTAGACATACTTTTCATGTTATCTGAAGAACTAGGATGCACTTTGTAATTTTTAGACAGCAATATCCCTTCTTTTTCTTTGTTATTTTGTGTGATCTCCAAAATAAACCTTTATTTACTTTTTTGTTAAATCACCATTATTGTTTTAAGTCCTAAAAAACATGTTAAGTAAAAACATCTTACACATTCCTCCTTTTTCAAATTTCATTGTAACTAAACACCAGATTTAACACTCCCAAAATGATACCACCCCACCAATCAGTTAATTTTCTATCACATAAACTACACCACATGCAGTGTTATACAAGATAGGAATGGTTATACTTAAACATGCTTTTAGCATAATTACACCTTAATTCCAAATTTAATTATTATCACATAATTTTGTTAATTAAAAAAAGACAAAAAAATAAATCAAAATAAAAAAGGGTGATTAAGATTATCCCAGTAATGCTCGTCAAAGCAAAACAGTCAGTGCACGTAGCATTAGAGCTGAGGATACAAAAAGATGTGCATAGGCAAGCTGTCATCCATTGTGTCAGATCTGTAAGTTGTTAGTGGCGTGCAGATATCATAAATGTTATAATTAGTCACCTTCCACCCCACGTAGTATAAGGCCTGGGCGCTAAGGAGGAGACGGACTTCAAAACGTCCCCAAAAAAGAGATACCTTCGTCGTTGCTGTAGCAATTTTTACAATGTAGCTTGGAAACTCGCACTCTTACATCGGCACCCGTGGACCCGTTACCCAGTGCCGCGTGGCATACACAGCAGCGGAAACACTGTACGTGGTAGAACAAGTTGAGGGACTCTATCACCATGGCGGCACCCCGTCCTGAAGCAATGGCGGAGAAAGTCATGCCATTAGCAAATGGCCACATAGAGAAATTAAAGAAGACTCCAAGCGTGCAAATGAAAGAAATAGTCTTACAATCAGTTCTATTTCTCTCTCACTTCACTTTTTGATTCTCTCACTCAAAATTTGGTGTTGTGAGAATTTCCTCAAATCCTGCCACACCACTTTGTAAAGCTCATGTGAAAAATTTCAATAAAATGAAAGAATTTAACTAAATCAAATGCAAGTTAAATAAAAAACTAAATTAACATAAAATCAATGTACCTTTGATTAATCATACAGTTTGCTTTTCAATAACACATCAATTCCTTTTTTTTCTCACAACTGTCCTTCAGAACAATACTACTTCTAAAACAATACTACTTCTATTCTTTCCAATTTATCATACATAGATGCCAAAATTGGGCTGTTTGCAAACATCCCATAAATATTTCCAAATCTTTTTCCAAAAATTATGAGTCTCATTTTTCAATATATCAGAGAGAGAAAGAGAGCAACATAGTCAAGCCAGCAGCTTTTGCTGTGACGCTGATGGCACATGGCCACCATGCAACATAGAGCAGACGACATAGGCAACATTCATTTGGTTTTAATAAAAAAAGTCCTTAATTTCAGGTAGTAGGTGATTTGATTACAACTCCTTGCTTTATTATCCCTTTTGTAATCCCCAGTATAAGGCTTTATCACAAAAAGTCTCACGTGGGAACACAGCTGGATAAAATAGCTATGAGGGGTGCAATCAACTGCCTAACTCCTCAGCATAAAACATTTGCTAAAACCAAATGAATATGGCCATTCATTCTTAAAACATAAAATAGTTTACTAAAGCAGACATGTACGTTTTTTTCTTCTCATCATGCAGAAATATCTGGGCCACAGTATGTGCTTTTGATCTTGTTATCTTTCAAGTAAATATTTTACATGCATATCATGCATAGCCTTTCCAGAATAAATTTGCACATGTAATTTATATTTATGTCAAACCTCTGATCATAGTTCTACACTGAACATATATTTCTATGCCATGAATGATAAAAAAATCCCAATTTTACCCAGCCAGCCCAAATGAAATAAGAACTCTCTCCATCTACCCTGTTTTTAACACTTACAATAAATTAAAACCACAAAATGTCAAATTATTGTCTGCAATACACATTTCTCTAATCCAATAAAATGAAAATTAAATACATAATAAAAACAAAAATAAAAATACATACAGATAAAACTTTATATGTATCTTACCTAGTTCCTTGTTGCAGTGAGAACACTTCTGTTTCCCGCTGACTGATAAAACAGACGGGTCAACTGGCTCCTTTCTGGATTCTTTCCCAGGGGCAGACCTGGGGGGTTTGGCAGGTGGGGGTGGGGGTTCTTTCTCAGGGGTGGGTGGCTGTCTGGAGCTCATTGGCTGTGGTCCTGATGTGATGGAGGGAGCGTCTTGGCTGTCCCACCTCTGCTGCTGGTATGCTGGCTTCGACTGCTGAGGCTGGATCTGGATGAGAGGACTCCTGAATGTCTGCGAAGTCTCTGGCTGTTGAAGATGATGATGAGCTGGCTGTGGGGTGGGGCGTGTCGGACTTCGAGGGGGAGAGATTCTCTCTGTTGAACTGACCCTATCCATAAGAGACTGCTTGATACTATCAGGTATGGGTTTTAATGGAGGAGAGGCGTCTCTCTTAGGTTGTGGTTGCTCAGAGTGAAGTGAATTCCAGTTTTTCTGAGAGTCATCGCGTGTTTGAAATGGTTCCTGATCGATTTTATTGTGTGCTGCATTAGATGGCCCTTGAGCAGAGTGGCGACTTTGGAGCTTTTGCAGTCTCTCACGCTCATTTTGTTCTGCTAGTCTTCGTCTTTCTGCCTCTTGCACAACCCAGTGTTCCTGTGGGTTAAACCCTTGTTTACGCATAATCTCTGACCTGCGTTTCTGTTTTTTCTGTCTCTCATCCTCTGACAAAATCCAACCATCACTTTTAAGCAATCGAGTCTTAGGCACAGCATTTATGTTAGGCCTGTTCTTCTTTGGATCCTCATCTTGAGACTTCACAGCCACAGGCTTATGAACGCCCTCTACTGTCGTCTGCTCTGGTTGTGAAGGCCTCCATGTAGGAGCGGGATTTCTTGACATTTTCAGCACATCTTCTCTGGTCATCACTGGCTCCAGTTTACTTGGTTTTGGCTGCTGAAGTTGCTGGCTGAATGTCTTGGGCTGAGGGACCTCCTCATTATCTTCAGTGTGAACCAACTGATGCAGACGCTGCTCTGGGCTTATCACAGCTGCTTGGTGTTTCTGTGGGGGAGTCATCACCCTGGCAACGGGCTTCTCTTCTATTGGCTCTTCTGGATGACCTTGGTTTCTCTCAAATGGACCTGAATATGAAAGAAACAAGTTCACTCTTGTTTTCTTCAATTATACAATAAAGTTACAGGAAACTGATAAACATTATTTTTAACCTTCTGCATTATTTTCTTTATCTTTTGGAGTATGACACACATCATGTTTTAACTAACACATCTAAAAAAATGCACATGGATGCCTGTCTTAAAGCAACAATAAATCAATACTTTATAATCTCAATAAGGGCTTCTTCCAAGGCATTTAATATATTTATGTTCTTTATCAATTGTATTGGGGAAAGGCATTTTTCCACTAGGTTCTCTCAACTGAAATTAAAATATTCTGAATTGGTGAAAGTTTATATTGTCATGAGATGTTTACCTCTGTTGTCTAAAAAGTTTGGGGCAGGTTGCTCCCAGCTGGACCTGTGAACCTCTTGGTGGTCAGGACTTCGTGAAAATGGCTTGGGATAGTTCACATAAGAATCCTTTTTGAAGGAGACTGGACTGAACTTTTTCGGTGGTTCCTGCCACGGAGCTGCTGATGCTAACTTGGGCTGCTGTGGTCTTTGTACAGGTTCTTGTTCCTGTGTCGTTTGATCTTCCTCTTGTTCGTCCCATTGTTTTTGTCTGTCTGACTTCTCCCTGCGTAACCTCTCTGCTTCCATTCTCAGCTTTTCTTGCTCTTGTCTTAAACGTTCCTTTAAAAATATGATAAAACATAAGCTATTTTCAAGCAAATCATCAAATTTAAATCCCACTTATTCAACAATATTTAAATTTTTAGCTTTTCTCATTAACAAATCATCAAATTTCAATCCTATTCTTCAACGTTTTGGATCATAATTCAGATAGTTAAATTTTCTCAATGTGAAACTTACTTCCATCATTTTCAGTTGATCTTCTCTATCTTTCAATTTCTGAATTTCAAGCTCTTCTTGTTTCTTTCTTTCCATTTCTTCTTGACGTCTCTCTTCTTCACGCCGCTGGTTTTCCAAGTTGTACAGACGCATTTTTTCTTCTTCTTCTTCCTTTTGTCTCTCCTTCAGCTCTCTGTCTAATCTTTCTTGTTCTTCTTGCACTTTTCTCTTTTCTTCTTCTTCTGTAAGATTGAAACAAGCTTATCAAATCTGAACAGAGAAAGTCAATATTGTAAACACTAAAGAGTAGAATTAATTTTTGTTGAACTGACCAAACTAAAATTTATTCTTCAAATAAAAGTTAGCAGTTAATTATGTAAATTTATGTCCATCTCTGCAGCAACATCACAAATAACATGTTACCAAGCATATTCCGACATTCATTGAGGTACCATGAAGAGTGTTTGCAACCTTTTTGTATATATCATAGTCAAAAATTGAATGTTGGCCGAATTGAATGTTGAGCCAAATCTCAGGTCCTTGGATCTTTGTTCATTATGAAGTAACTTCCATTGTTCCATTCAATTATATTCCTTAATTAGTTACCTTTGAGATTTCTGTCCTTCTCAGATTCTACAGGCTGCTGCTGTTGTGCTCTAATAGTCCACTGGTACGGAGCAAAATTACTGTAAAAACAAAGAACACAGTGAGGCAACATGGTCACAAAATCCTTCTCAATCTTCTCAGTCTCTGACATTAAACACCTTTCATACTGAATAAGCTGCTGGACTGGAATACTGCTTGGATGATCTTTTTTTTTTTTTTTTTGAATAATGGACTTTTCCCAAACAAAGTTCATCTGGTTTTCACAGAGTTTATCCACCCTTATTCTCAATCTTGTCTCATACCAGCATTTAATTATACGAAGCATATAATTAATGACTCAGCAAATTTTTCATAAATATTTCAATTTATTTCTGAGTCAGATTTATTGAAATAATTTATGGAGGACCAATCTTTTCTTTGAAAGTGAACTTACAGTTTGTTAATCATATTCGTGCCAAAGTCATTGTTTTACTTGGCAACCTTAAAACTTCCAAGAGGTGAATTTTATTCAAATCACTGCAAAATGATCCATATATAATATGTAAGAAGTTGCTTTGGTTAAGTGTCTTTACTCTCTGATAGTAGTCTCTGTAGCCCATCACCTTTACGTTGAGATTAAAAGAAAAAAAAACTTACCTAGTTTGTTGAGGTGGCTTTGCTTCTACACTCAATGGAGTAGACTTTTTCTCCTGAAAAATTAAATTCAGACTTAAGAATAGCAATACACATCCATGACAGAATGTTCAGCTTTTGAGCTTTAAAACAAACATTTAATTATAAACAATCAAGATTAAGCAGAGAATAAATGTTCCGGCATTTAATGCCCTCACTAGCAAAATCCAGCCACCTTCACATTTATCTTACAGGAGATCAAAATTTTCAATAAAAACAAACCCTCTACCTGACCCTGTTTCACACCTACAATATTTAAAGATCACCAGTGCTATACACTAAACCCTTTGTTACTCATCTTATATATAACCTGCAGCAGGATGCAAGGTATGAAGACAAGCATCGTGTAATAATTAAAGTCACATCTTGTGTCATAACTGTCAGCTTGCATAAAAGAAACCAGTTTCCAAGCTATGTGTCCCGGTGCTCTCTGTTCAGGCACAGAGTTCAATAATACATGAATATTACCTGCAACAACATCCAAGCTCTGTGCTAATTTATTCTAACTTGCTACTGACCAAAAAGGTTTCTTTCTTCTTTATAAATGCATAAATTGTCAAAAATAAAATGTTTAGGTGTAAATGAAATGTTGTATTCAAAGAAAACAAAAAAATGCAAGCAAAGAAAATTAAAAGAGACAAAAGAACCAGCCATCAAGTTCACTTTATAGAGCCAAGAAAAAAGTCAACAATTCACCAAAAACAAAACATCATTAATAGACCAGACTCTTATTGAAATAATTAAATTATAATATTTATCTAGATAATATTCTCAGCAGATATCACAACCATGACATATTCCTTCATGCATACACATCATTTTATATAGATTTCATAATAATTACCTAGATAAAACCCTGTTAATCTTCATAATCCATCAACACGGTCACTATTTTTATTTTGCAAATGTTTTTAAATTGAATTTCAATCTTGGGCATGCAATTCCACAAACTTCTCCACATGCTGAGACTAAAATTCAAACAGTACCTTCTCTCTGCCTAAAATGATCTGCTGTACTTCCTTGTCAATTTCAGAATCGACACCGACCTCTGAAATACCACCGTTTTGAGCTCCATGACAATTTTCCAATGGGGTTGCTTCAGAGAATGTGTTAGGTGTGCTGCCCGGGGTATGACAACCATTGTGCTTTCCATGTTGTTGAGGAAAGGATGTTTTCTTGAAATGTTGTGTCGAAATATGGAACTTGCTGTTGCCGTTCTCAGTTTTAGTCACACTCCCAGGCACACAGTGCTTGAGGAAATCATTCCAGGATCGAGGCGCACATCTGGACGAAAATTTCAAAGATTTTTCCTGCTGAGCCCGCCTTTCATCTATGGATTTATTTTCGATACTTATTTTGTTATCTTTACCAGGAGAAGGGTTTTTAGAAACCATTCTATGGTGGTCTGAAGCAATTGGGGCAACTGCATTTTGATTATTATTTTTTTGTTCATTAGTCTTTTTCTTTTGGTTCTCTTTTTTGCACTGAACTTTATGCCTTTCCTCTTCATCCAGATATTTCTGAACTTTAGAGTACTGAATGTACTTCTCAGTACTACCAGGAACAATATTTCCTTTCAAATTTTCAAGCTCTTCATTTTGCTGAAGTTCAGCTTTTTCTCTCTCAAGTATGTTACGCAGCAAATTTCGATGTTCGTGCACTTCTGTAATGCTGTCTTTGTGTTTTTTCTTTGGAATTCTCTGCTCTTTCTTTAACTCAAGGATGCAGGTAGAGAATTTGCTGGTCAAAAGAGGATCGCTCTGGGTCTTAATCAGCTTCACCATCTTCTTAGCTTTGCTTTGATTATTTTCTCCAAGAACATCGTGATGTGTTTCCATGTCTAATGAGCCATCTATTTCATCTATTTCACCATGTGATAAAAGTCTTTGAGATGACCTACACCCAGGTAGGATATCACACTCCTGGAAATCATTTTCTAAACTAGCAGACAACACATCTTTTGTCAAATTATCTGCACTGCTATATTTACTCTCTTTCTCAAGGTCAATATTTGGATCATTTTCCATAATTTTAGAAGAGAAAATGAATGACTGTTCACAAGGTTTTGCTTTATTTCTGGTTTCTTTTGCATCATATAAGTTTCCATTTGTTTGTTTCTTTTCTCTTAGGGATTTTTCTTTTGAAGGTAGGAGGGAGTTTTTGTGAGGTCCAGTACCATTAGATTCACCGAATTTCTTTTCATCAAAATCTTTCATGCAAAATTCATTGGTGGTATCTTGGGCTTTTCTCCTACTGGGCTTCTGTACATTTTCATCCAGTTTGTCAACATCATCTTTCACAACCTGACCTTTTAAATCATCAACCAAATCACTGGATTTTGGCAGTCCAGCTGAGGAAAATAATCTAGAATTTTTACTTAGGAGAAACCCCATCATATAATCATCAATACCATTATCATCTTCACCTTCATCATCACTCAGACCATTTCCCTCACTATGAAAAATACTACTGTCCTCCAAGCCATCTGCAAACGATGGGTCTGTGGAAAATGTCGCAGAATTTTGGAAACTTTCCCTGTCATCATCCTGCTGGTCATCTTGGACTGTGTATGGGCTGCAGGTATGAGATGAAATCAAGTCTGGGGTAAAAGTGAGCAGTAAGTTCCCTTCATCAGGGTTACATTCAGCCAGGACGCCATTTTGTTTGGGGTTTTCAGAGGGTGGGGAATATAATTCTATAGGATTCCATTCAGGCAGGGCCATAGCAAGCCCTGGTTCTTTATAAGACATGGTGCATCTTTCTCCAGTTTCTTTATTCATGATGGGGAACCACGTCCCTCTGGATGCCCCTTCAAAATGGGCCATTTGGAGGTTGCACACATCTTTACCTTCAATTTCTTTTTCATTGGTTACTAAATCATTTTGCAAATCGTCAAGATGATGCAGGCCTTCATGGGTGCCATCTTTTGCTGGTTTACCCATTTCATGGCCATTGCCATCTTTGGTTTCATTATGAATTTTTTCTACAGGGGTAGTACTGAATATTGTATTCCTACTTACTACACTGCCATTGATGAGGACTTCTAGGGGTTGAGATGGATTAACATCAGAAGAGAAGACACTGACTTGGCTTGGATTGTTTGATTTACCAGCGGCTGCATTAGGAGAGAGAATGTCCACCAGACCAGGTCCTGGAGTGCCTGGACGCTGATTTACATCCTCAATTTCCACAAGAACAACCTTTACTTTGGGTTCCACCATAGCACCGTGAGGGAATTGAATAGCATTGCTCTCTAGGATAAGGAGACCCTGATCACACGAAATCTGGACGTCTTCACAACAACTGGCAACAGGGTTTGAATTGTGGTGACTGCCACAAATACTCTTATTGCCAGTGCCATGAGAAGATACATCTCCTGCATTTCTGCACACATCACAGTTGGAATCCAATGAAATGTCTTCTGTAGTGGACTCATTCACAGAAGCAATCTTGAAATTCAGCTTGGAATGAGTTTTGACATATTTGGTGCAATTAAGACACAAAAAATCAAGGTGAAGATTCACATCCTTCTTGAAGATAAAATTATCTTCTGCTGGACCATCGTAAGAGACTGGTGCTTCCTCCTCCTCAATGGCACTCATTTGTCGGTGAAGTCCTTTCAAATTGACCTGTTGATTCCAAAGAGCAATATGTACTGACAACAACAATTGCAATTATCCAAAGGCGACAAGATTCTCAGTGTTCCTGCCATGTTGTATACAGTGCCGACCCATGCCATTACACAAGCAATACCACTGTCTCTACAGCCATCAGCCAATAATATCCAACATGGAGGTCAGCATGCAAAATTCCAATTTATCACACTCCTGAGAATTACCCATAGAATATCCCATACGAAATGTAACCTCTATATACATTTTTACATGCAGGGTTTGTATGGCGTCCATTTTAACTGGTCAAGAAGAGAAAAACCTGTTACAGTTGATCATGCACTGCCGCGTTCAAGTAGTGTCATAGGATGTCCACTCCCTGTCTGGTTCAAACACCTGGCCAGGATGCAGAGTGCTCTTTTTATAGATGTGTCCATACACCAGCTTTCCTCAGTCCATATACATGTTCCCATCTGTAACTTTTTCCATATACATTTTGTGTATCATACACCTTCCCTTTTACATAATATACATATATAAATATATATAGAAAATCCAAGTGCACACCTATTTCATGCAGCACATGTTTTTGCCCATATGTCAAGAACAAACTGTTGGTGATGTCTGCATTTACATAAACTAAATATCTCCACTCCCAAAACAGTACATTAATTTTTGTAATAACATACCAATGCCATGTTACCTTTATATAGTACATGCCATTGGTATTGTATATCAAATATATGAATAAATAATGAGCTTTTAGTGTGGATCTTCTATACAAAATAATTAAGATGGCCGAGGTTAAGCCTAGTGGCAAAATAGACAGCTCTTCTTTAATTTGAATTATGGGTAATGGTGAGCTATTTCTTCTTTATTTATTAAACATGTCAATGACTTTTCATTGTTATCTTACACTGAGTCTATGGGACTATACTCCTAAAATGTAATCTTATCACTTGAAATTTCCCTTGAAGTCTTAATTCCTCCTATCACTTACTCTGTATGCTAACTGTTCTTTTTACTTAATGATGGCAATACTTATGGCACATTTTAAATGATAGGACTTCATTAATGAGGAAGAAAAAATCAGCTTTTTGATCCCAAGAGTTTGTGTAATATAAATAAATACTATTGAATATTATTAATTTAAAACCTTGCCCTGTGCCGAAAGTATAACCTCCAAAACATGCTTTGATATAAACTATCAAGTTCAAGATCATGCCTCAGCAACTTTAACAATTTACAGGATCATGCCCCAACAAATTTGTCATTTCCAGGAAAATGACACTTATGAGTAGATATACCAAGCCCTTACATGTATTTTTGTTGTCTATTCAAAACCAAGCCATGGTGTGCATTTTTCATATTATCATTAACATGCAACAGAGTGCCTATTTCATGCTGTTCACAACCTTTCCCTTAACTGGTCTAGTCATCTCATATGTCATCGTGGGACACTTACAGGTGTCACGGTGATGCAAAATGACACACCTTTTCTGACACAAACATGATTACTAAGATGTAAGAGACCTTACATGACATCAATAAGTTTTAATGTGATAAAAATCTAACACTGCCATTGTGCCTGGGAGAGTTCTTTGTCAGTTCTTAAATAATTACGCTGTACTTAAATATTGAATAAAAATCTACTTCTAAAGATAAAGTAACAATGAAATGTCATTTTGCATTTATACAGTGTTATAAAATAACATTTGTGTAGCTTCTTGCCTCCTTTTCTAAAATAAAATACCAGAATCCTAATTTCTGTCTGCAGATAATGCAGTGGCCAAAGGTCAGGTCATTTCAAGTCTTCTTTCAAGTATTCTCCCCCCCCCCCTCTTTTCTGAGAAAAGAAATTCTTTTCTATATTTAAGAGGATCCTACTGAAGCACTTAAAATAATGGGGAGAGGGGTTGTAAGGGGTGTGGGTTGGGGGGTACTTAACCTTCTTTACTGACCTGTTGTTTTTGTTGTTGAGGCTGTACCAGATTAATCTTCAGCTCCTGTGCTCTCTGCTGGTCTTTTTTGTACTGTTCCTGTAACTGCTGCTGCTCACGTTCATATTGTTCCTAAAAGTCAATGGAGGACTGGCATGATAGATCAATATATAATTTAGATCAAGTAATGAAACAAAAATCTTTTCAAATAATCAGAAATTTTGACAAAATTACACATGCATGATGCAAATATGGGGCACAGGATTTCCTAAATATGCAAATATTGATGTAAAATCCAAAATTTCAAACTTTTGTTTTATGTGATCAATCATGAAATCCAGCACTTATCAGTTATGTTAATGAGCAAAATTGAAATACCTTTAGTACAGACTAGCACTAGACACTTTAATGAACAATTGACAAATAATAAGACAAACAGAATAACACAAAATCCTTGAAATATTGAAATCACTTTAGAAGGCAAAAGAAAGCAGAAATTTTTGGGGGCTGAAAGCTTTAATTTTTTCATCACAGACACCAAAATAATCCTAAATATAAGCAGTGGCATGCTTCCACTGATCTAAACAAACATAAATAAAAAACACAGGCAGGGCAAGCTAAGCTACTTTTAAAAAGTCATACAATGAATGAAGCACCAGCTTTAGTCTTTAAAAATCCATATATTTTGGAAAATATTCTGCATAACATGATTTGCAAACAAACAAACAAAAAAAAACATAAAAGCTACCCGAGAAAACCTGAAAACATGACAGACTCAATGACCTATTTATTCTTAGCAGTACAAACTTACATAATACCTTTACAACAGTTTAAGGTAAATATGCAATTGTTAAAAATACCAAAATCCTGCAGGCTAAAAAAATCCACTTTTACCATAATTCTAACAGATTTCATAGGATATTTGAAGTTTTGGCAGGAAAATGAAAAGGGATAAAAGCATAATATAAGCAGCAGGGTTAAGCACGTCATTGCAAAAGGTAATATTTTAAAGTGCTAAAAAATTACATCATCTGTGGTTATATTACAGCAAGCAATGCAAGCACAATGATACATATTTGGGGTTAATATGTACAAAGAAGCAAACGCTGGGTCCGTGCAAACACCTTACGACTAAATACACAATTATCATTGCAAAACCTGGGCTTCCCCGTTATAACCACTCCAGCAATGACCGCCATGACAGTACATGGCCGCCATGACAGTTACATACATGAAGTTAATGTTAATTACCTTCAAACTAGCCACAGTGTTTGCCTTCTGGAGGAAAGGTCTATGAGAAGGCTGAGGAAAAATGGACATATACTGTGTACAGTGTGAAAGGAAGTTCATTAAAAAGTTGAATGTTGATTATAAACCCTCCTGTACATGATACTAAGACAGAAAGACGGAGAAGTTGAGTTTCCCTAATTAATACCCTTATGTTAGGACACAAGTTCTTTTGCATCATTGATGTAGGGAGGAACAGCTATATGTGCAGTGCCGTGATTTTGTTTTTGGTCCTACTATTGAAGTAGATATGTTGTTGATAAAATAACAACAAAAATTAGCAAATCGTGCAATATACTAGTAAATGTTGAAGGAATTTTTTACTCTGAAAGGAAATTTCGATCACATGCAATTAAACTGCACACATGGACACCAATATAATTACAGCATACATATTAAACTATTTCCATTCATCTGGGTGTCTTTAGTTAACATTTCCGTATTTGGTTATGCAGTTAATCTATGGAAAAATTAGTCCAAAATGCACAAGTGTAATGCACCATTCTGTAAAATGCAAAACTACTTCTATAAAAAGCTGTCTATTTCGTATTGCCTTGACAATTTAGCTGAAAGCAAAAGCTTCACTTAGATCATTTTATGTATGTTTTTTCAATTTTTCTCTAAGTTTCTTTATTCTTTTAAATGTCATTTAAAAGTATTTTAATTTTCCGTGTTTATTTTCCTGCTACATTTTGAAGTTGATAAAACTTAAGCAGACGAAAGGGAATGCCAAAAGTAAAGATTGCAAGTTTTGGGAGGTGTCAAAATATTCAAGGCACAAATGAGTTGCATGGAAGAAAAAAGAAAAGTTTTGTCTCTACAAGACAGATACCAGAAAACAAAAAATATCTTTCTCTTAAAAAAAAAAAAAGATGAGGATTCAAACTTTCTTAGAGAACAAATCAAATAATAAAGCATCTATCCATTAGGAAAAAAAGAAAACTTTGGCTCACCTGTCTGCGCCTCTCCTGTTCTTTACCCCATTCCTCCATACGCTTTCTTTCTTCATCTATGCTAAAGAAGCTGCGCCGATTCAACGAAGCACTTTTTCTAGGTTGCTGCTGAAGAGCAGACTCAAAGTCTTTCGCAACCCGGCTCTCTATTTCAATCTCCTTACTAGTGGTCCCCACAGACCTTAAATGTTCCATGCTCATTGCGCGAGCATGCGCAGGAAGACTAGCACTTTTGTTAATATTCTTCAGCTGTTCCTCCCTCTCTAAATTTTCAATGATTTCTCGCTCTTTTGCCTCAATGTCTTTACTTTTGTCCTCTTGAACTTGGAAGGAGAATTCCTTTCCAACTGTGGCCTGTACCTCATGGGAGGTCTGGGGTGGATTTTGAGCAGGTTTCTGGAGCTGTATTGTTTGGCTAACCTCCATTTTGGGAGGCCATGTACTAGTAAGGGGTTTAGCACCTGCAATGTTGGGCATTCAAAAACTGAATTATTCACAAGTTTAAATATTCAGTTGTTACTTCAAATAAACAGATTTGGTCATTATGAGTATAAAAATACAGTATGAATGGTATATGATAATATACATATTAAGTCAGCTTTCTTTTCAATCATAACAAGGATGCCAAAAATTAGCAAATCAACAAGACCCTTCCAGTGGGTGTAAATTTCAAAAATATGCTCATTAATAAAACTAAAAAAAGTAATTTCTTTAAAATTAACTTATATTGTTTGTTTAATAACTGCTAAAAAACTTAATTTGTCATTCTGCATATTAAATAAAGAAGATTATTGTTATCATGAAAATATTTTGCAAGCTGGATATTAGAGATACTTTGAACACTTAAAGTTAAGCCTACAGATAGCTCTTACCAGAATCAACTGTATCTTTTTCAAGTCCCAAAAAGTCAGACCTGCGCTTGATATTTTCTTTTTTGATTCTTGTTACTTCAGCATCTTTCTCTCTCTGAAATCACATTCATACATTTGACTATTAATCAAACAAAAATTGAATTCAATCCATTCTATGTTGCAATCAAAAAAAAAAAAAAAAAAATCCATATAAAACAAACAATCTGCATAGTTAAAGTTGATGAAGAAAGAGATGTGAATATGTCTTTGTAAATAATCTATTTATGCTAATACATATTTTCTGCAACTGAAAGCAAAATAAACAGTCTAAAGATGAAAATCACACTAAATATTTTTTATGTAGTTGTTTGTTCCTACTAGGCTTAGTTTAAATAATAATAATAATAAACCTGTTTCTCATCCTCAGAAGTGAAAGTGTCAGTACTAGGAGGACTGGACAGACCATTCTCTACTGGTTGTACCTGGGACAAAGACAAAGTCTTACTGATTTGCTGCATTCAGATTTAATTGGGTTCATTCATTGCGAAGCCATTTTCAATCAAGTTAGGCACCATTTTTAATCAAGTTAGGCATTTGTTTTCAATCAAGTTAGGTACCATACATTTCCCCTTACAATATTACTGGAACTGTGACTTCTGTCAAAAAGATATTTGCCCTTCAATCTCAAAGTGTTATAAACCAACTGCCATTGGTGTAAAGTAATATAACAAACACTTAAAAAATTTATAAATCGCATAAAAATGGATGTTTTTTATTAGGCAAAAGGGTATTAGGAAAAAAGAACTCAGAGAGACATAAAAGTCAAATTTAACCTTTTATCTCAAAGCTCTTAAAGATTATTCTCTCCAGAAGAACATTAAAACTACGTTAGTACATTCAAATCAAAGGTATGGATATTTTTTTACATTCCTGGGAAAAAAAGCACCATCACAGAAAGAAATTTAGAAATAACAGTCTATAGAGGGTATGAATTTTCTTCTCATACTTCTTTTTCACTAACCTGTGTCTGTACTTGCTGCTCCTCCACTTGCGGCGCTGCGGTTTCCTTCTCTGTCTTCTTTTCACTGTCTGACTCTGAGTCGTAATCCACCAGTTTATTTGACACTGCTTCTGGCTCTTTGAGAGGTAATCTGGCATTTATCTTCAGTGAGGCTACATAAACAAGAACATTCTCTATTTGTAGTGCTCCAAGATATAAAAGAATCACTCTACTCTTATCGTATGAATCAGAGGATAATGACATACAACAAGTTTATAAACACCCAAAATCATTTCTACTGATAAATGCAATCATGTTACGAATATAAGTGCATGAAATATAGGAACTTTCTATATAATTAACAAAAATTCTACATTGCCACCTCAAACGAAGATCTTTCCAGAGAAGCTGACCCAGATGAGCTGGTCACATGTGATCCACTTTAAAATTAAATGTGTTTCTTTTTTACCACTACTGGATGAATGAGTACATTTTGTCATTAAATACAATTATGTTCCATTCTATCCAGCTATTTCTCTGATCAAAATACACATTGCCAACTATTTACCACTCACCTTCTTTTGTTCGTCTCACAATAATTTCAACTTTTCCTTTCTTTAATGACTGGTTTACTTTTAGCATTACTGATCCTCGAAACAGTTCAGCTACTTCATCTCCATTTACACTTATCACTTCATCTCCTTCATCAAGCCCACACACATCAGCACTGGACCCTAGTAAAACATTTAAATACTTGACTGTATCAAATGTTGTTAAAGTCTATTTACATTTTTAAAAAATTACAGCCAAGTGGCATTTGCTTTCTTTTTTTTTTTGTGTGTATCTACTTCTTATTTTACATTTTTAAAATTTATAAGAAGAGCTGACATTGCAAAGTGGATTGCCTCTTTTTCTTTTTTTTTTCTTTATGAATTAATGTTGTTAAAGAATTACTTTTCTTTGATTTTGTATGTCCATGAAATGTGGTTAAGATGAAGACCAATATGCAGTTCTCAACTTCAAAAATTGAGTATTTAGTATACTCATAAAAGTACACCTACAAATTTTGAATAATTCTGTGCACATGTGCATAAATGTGTGTTCTGTCTCAACACACAAACAAAAACAGAACTTATACTTTTGACCAATGAGCACTGGATGGCATAACAATCTTCATTTTTCCAGCAAAGTGGTGCTGAGACTAATCCACTCACCAACATTCACCGTGTCCACAACCAACGGCGCACACTGGTCACGCCCCCCTTTCAACGTGAAACCAAACGTGGTTTCTCTCTCCGTCTGTTTTACAATGGTTACTTTCTCTTCAACCATGCCCTGAAAAGAGTTTGTAAAGATCAAGGTATTGAAAAATCATAACTGAGAGGATTAACAACACTTGGTCTTTTTTTTTTCTTTAATGTCTTATTTTTGTGGCAAAACTTTATATGCGTACTGTCACATCTATTTCACATCTATTTGAATTAAACACTGTGACAGTTAACTCAGTCTTAAATGTCTATTTGTTTCCTTTCACAGAACTCACATGTAAAGATCCCCTACTGTTACTGGAAACAAAAGGTCTGAATGGTTGAGACAAAGGTTTTGATTTGTCCTTTTCATCTTCACTCTCTTCCTCCTCTGATTCCTCTGTTTCTTCTTCCTCCTCTTCTTCAGTCTGCTTCTTTGGCACCATCTGTAGCGAAGCTGTGCTGGTTGGGATGATCTCTCTCTCGGTTGCCTTGTTCCGTTTGTTCTGAGCTTCGACGTCAGTGCTGGATTCAGAATGGCTGCCATCATGGCTGTGTTTGTGATTTGATTCAACAATGACGTCTTCCACTGGTATTATGGGCTCTTGCTTGGGCTGCAAATACCAAGAAAAATGTTTTGTTATAATATTTTGAATCACTGGTCACAAGCTTTACATACCAAAGAAAAAAATATGATCACAGCAAAGATATGTGCAAATGCCTTTACATCAGATCTTTATGAGGTAAGTTTTTTTTTCTTGTTTAATTTGAGTATATATAAGCACTGCTTGATCTAGAATACCCCCCCCCCCCCAATCTCCTTTACACCCACAAATGTAACTTTTAAAGGTTAAATTTTAGTTTTACAGTTTGATATCCTCTATAAATAAGATCATTTGGCTTTACAATGTACAGATCTATTGCTATGAAAATCAACATTTGTGATGACAAGCTACATGTACCTTCCTAGGGGCAGGTTTAGGAGGGCTCCTGGGAGGAGGCATTTTGGCAGAATCGAGATCTTCGTATCGACTTCGAAGATTAGCAAGCTTACTGCCTCTATCTTCCTTTTCCTCTGATTTTTTGTCTTGCTTGTAGGAGCTTAAATCCATGGATTTTGACTTTTCTTTCCTCCAGTCCAACTTCTCAGTCCTATCCTCTCTTTTTGGTATATTGGAAAATACATTTTCATCTTCATCTCCATCATTATATGGGAAATAGTTAAAACTTCTTCTAGCCTCCCTGAAAAAATTCAATCTTTATAGCAATAATGTTTACTTTCATGCATTTTGTGTATTACCTAAGAAGTATGTGCATACGACAAGTAAAATGCTTCAGTTTTGTTGAAATAATTTTTTCGTCCAACTGGTTATTTTTTCATTCAACGCATTTTACTACTTATTTTGTGTAATAAATACACACACTCCCCTCACAGTGCTTCAAGCTTTTATGTCCATTTTAAAACATTTTCTTCATTCTGTGTTTTTCAACACTTCTTTATATGTAATTAATACAGAATTAATTCTATCATATTTGAGGTACCCACCTTTCTTTTCTCATTTCTGCAAAAGATTTTATGCCTCGGCCAGATTTGGGTTCCTCCTCTTGGAACATGTTGTCTAAGTCCTCCTTCACTTGGTACGAGTGTGATGACTTGCTTCGCCTCCGCTGCTTCCAACTGGACAGATTCTACGAACACAGATCAGGTAGATTGGTTAAATTATTCATTATTTTACTTACTGCAGCTCATCTTACTCCCGCATTATCTTTTAAATTACATTTAGTTATTTAAACTTTTCATTCTAAAAAAAATTCTTAACCAATGTCAGTGATAGACTTGCAAAATATTTCATTTTAGTAAATATCAACTTAATATCATTTAGTCAAAATGATTTATTTTTATCCACCAGACTAGTCAATTATTTAAATACTAGTGAGTCAAACAAGCTGCAATGTTGAGTCATTCCACAAAAAAGTGTCTCTCTGAGCCACATCAAAGATGGCTGTATTTCAGGTTATATTTGCATAGCTCTACCTCTGCCTTGTCCCATTATTTTTGCTGTATCAGTTAAATACTGTAGTACCCTCCAATGTGGAGAGAAATGCATCACTGAAGTGACTCAGAGATTCACTTTTTTGTGAAATGAACCTATTGCAACAGCATCACAAATGTCAAATTCAAAAGTCCAATGCTTTAACTAAAACTAATCAAACCACTAGCCTTGGCCACCCTTTGTTACTCTACTGTTTCACTTTACTTGTTATTCACTTTTTCCTAATAGTATTTAAATGGTACATATTGTGTCAAAAAGCAGATAATTTCAATGTGTCAAAAGACAATGTTAACTAGAGACTGGTAATAAACATCTGTTTCCCCAACTGAGACTTTGATGACTAAATAAGGAAATCAACAGTTTGCCTTGGTACTTAAATTTGTAGTCCCTTCAAGGATTTGTTATTAATCATATTTCTATCCTAACCCACAAGTTAGGAACTTGATAAAAAAGTAAAAAAAATATTAAAACACTGAAGTGAAAAAGGTGGCCTTGGCTACAAATTCAAACTTTTAATGTCATGAACTGTTTTTTTTTTTTTTAGTTTACTACAAGTACACAACCACAAATTATCAAAACGTTGATGACAAACATTCTTATACATCAATAAAAAAGTAAATTGACTCTGAAAACAAACTCAATTTTACAATAGGTTTTCTTAACAGCCTGGAATATCTAAAAATTGTACTGAAGAAAAAGATAATCATGAAATTATCAATTATAAATAATAAATTTTCATATAGTAATTAGTGAATTGAAAAGATTCACTACATTAGGATATGTATCTAACAATGAGAAGTTTTCTTAACACAAGCAGTGAAAACCTTTAACAATGTAAGTTTGTAGCCATCAGTACCTATGGCATCCCTCTTAAGGGGCTGTCAGTGACAGTGATGACTACAAACTAACACTTCAGATATTCTGCTTCTGTTTAGATAACTTCTCTGTGTATCTACATATAGTATTTGGTAATCAACATAATAAAATTATGATCATAATGACATTACTAATTAAAATCATTTACAGTCATAGGTCTATCTACAGGTAGTATAGTCAGGTGTACTGACATCATCTGATTGTGTTAGAGGAGAATTTGGTTGAGAAACCAAAATGGTCAATGTGCTCAGTTTTGAACTATGTGCAATCAAATGGCAGATAGACAGTGTTCAACTCAGACCCCCTCCTTTCTTCACGGGGAAACTAATATCCATATAATCTCAACATCACCCGGAATCACTTACACCACACTGAGTAAAACCTGCTGTGAAATGGCAATGGAGTTGAAGAATTTGATTGTCTTTCTTTTATTCTCACTGAAAACTGCTGATGTCATTTTTGACCCACTGGACTTTTCATGTTTCAATCATTTTGGTTCATGATATGCTGTCATCCTCCTCTGACAGCAGTATGTAAGGTTTGACAGTGTCTGCATTCAAATCAATTTTCTGTTTGATATTACATTCCAATCACTCCCAGTGACAGAGAATGCACAATTGTTGAAAATACCCCAACAATCTACATACCCCTATTAAGTGGCCTGACACTGCATTCCACAGACATGCAAATGTCTATTATTAAATAAATTGCTACCAATCATGCAACCTTAGTATTCTACACCACAAACATAGGTTAAAGTAATGACAGAGCAGAGAGTGCATTGTACCACTTGCACCAATCTGCCCACCCCCAATTAATTGAAAAAAATAAGTTTTTCTTCATCCCCTTCTGTTTCAGTTTGCATCATCATCATCATCCATTATAAAGAAAACCATTTTATCTACTTCCTTATTATGAATTACTGGTCATGAGTTTTTTCCTTTTCTTCTCTGTCTACTTTTTTTTATCAAGCAACTGGTCAACTTCTGGACTGGTCATAAAATGCTTTAATGCTGAAAAATTTAATTACACTTTTACAATTTTATTGTGATAACTGTTGTCATATCTTAGCATACCCCAGGTCTGCACCAATTTTTCAAGCAGATTGCATAACAGCATGCCAAAATGTACTCTTTTCAACCATTATCGTAACAGTTTGAATACTCCTAGGGCTCTGTGTTCGAGTCATTAAGTTACCATATTATAGCATACCCCTATGTTACAATATGTTATTCTGCCATTTGATTTGCACATTTTGTTCTCTAACAGCCGACAAATTTCACTCTGTCAAGGACCTAGTCACTGATCATGAGGAGACAGCTCTAATAGGGTGCACTCTTTTTACATTCTGGTTAATCTAAACTGACGCAACAGCTTTGGTGTTGTGAGTGGTGCACAGTATAAAGTCTAAAATTTAAAATTATTTTCAGTAACTACATATACATATCCTTTTTTGAGATATATAGATGTATATGTATATATATCCCACTTAAATAAATATTAAAAAGATGTTACAAATATATTTTAGTTTAAGTTTTGATAATGACACAAGCTTCATTAATTCTGTCATCAGAAATGGAATGGAATCCATTTAATAAAGAGCCATATATGGTAGTAAAAAGCTCATTCCAAAGCCAATCGCAAGCTGATGCCACCACAAAACACAATGCACCGCAAGCTGCCATCTTGCATCGTGAGTGCTGTGAGTCACATTTTGATTTTCTAGTTAGATTTTCTTCAATGCATGCTTTTTTTTTCATGCATGTGTGCAAAGACTTACCCTCACTGTAGTGGACTCATGACTGTAAGGAATCATTTACACACACAAATTTTGAGTGATCCAGTTGATATCTCTTATTTATGATTTCAACATGCAAGAAATGATAATTTGTTGCTTTAATATATCCAGCTTGGCCAAATAACAATTCCCGCAAATCAGTACAAGTAAGGCAGGCTATAAATTCCCACTGTGGCTATATGAAAGCAATATGCTGTGATGCCATTTCAAATGAAAATCTGATAATTGGTTTTCTTAGAAATATTTATATAAGATTGCATTTCATTCAACTGGTCACTTCAACCCGAGTGTGTAAATGCCCCTTTAGATGTTATCGTGGTTAAAATGTGCAAAAAGGTTCACCTACCGCATGCCAGTCAGCTTCACCTACCGATTGCCAGTCCTCATCCTCATGTTCAATTTTCTTTTTCAATTCTTTTACTTCTTTAACAAGAGTGATAGTCTCCTTGGCTTCCTCAGCCAGAGGAGCTTTCCCAACTTTAATGAACTGCAAAGGATCGTATGGAAGATTTGCCGTGCTAGTCCGTCGCACACTTTTTGAGAAAGCATTCTCGCTACTTCCAGATGATTGGCGCGAATGATTTCCGTAAGAATTTCCATCGAGACTGTCTGTGGAAGAGAACCTCTGGTGGTGTATGTTTTGTGTGCTTCCAGATCTGTATCTGCCCTGGTGTTCCGCAGGCAATCCAAACGTGTATGTCTTGGTTAGGTCAGGGTTACTCCTGTGGTGAACATCGAACTTACTTGCTTTCTGTTGCATTGAGGGAACTTCATCGGAGTAAAGCCCGTCCAGTGTCGCAGAATAGCGTAGCTGTCCTGAATGGCTGAGATTACCTGCGCTTCCGTAATGCTGCATATTGTTTCGCACTGGCATGTTTTCAAAACTATTATCGTCTGAGTTATGGCGATCGAATGATCCGAAGGAGTCGTACGAATTCTCCCTTTGATGGTGGCCACTGCCTGTACTAATATCCTGCAGAAAACGTGGCTGTTCCACTGAATCGTATGACGTGTTACTATGGTGACCAGGTGTACTGGTCTTGTGATTCACATCCTCGCTTCTGTATGACCCATACGCACTCGAATGTTCATAGGAGTCTGCCGAATCTTGTCGTGTGTGTGCTCGTGGCGTGTGCTCAAAAAGACTTCCTGTCCCTTGGTTCTTGATCAATCCAGTAAATGCGCTGAAGTCTAACTGAGGGCCATTGTAAGTTCCCTCAACTGTCTTCCCCAGCCAATAGACTGTTATTGCAACCTATTACAAAGATAAGAAAACAAATTATTTAAAACATAAAATACTTTTTTCTGGAGGCATGTAAGAAATCACTTCCATCACTGCTTTACAATTTATAACTGCAACAAGTTGAATTGCAGATATCTAGAAAAAAAGGAACAAATGACAAATGAAATATTATCTTACAACTATAACCTAAATCTGCAATTATATCCATTCTTACAAGATATATCTGCATCTAGATTCCACTCCGGCAACACAGAAAACCTGACAGAAATAAAGGTATTCAACTAAAATATCAATCTTCATTCCACTAGATTTATAATCAACCACTACATGACCTTCTCTTCTTGCTGTAACCACCCTGTTGCTGCAACCTAGAAAGATAAACTATGATGAAGGTGTGATGCATATTTGAGATCCATCTTTGTAGACTGGTAACTCCACAGTGCTGCCTTGCCTTCCACATGCCATAGGCTCTCATAGTTTCCCAATACAAGGACATCCTGTGCTGCGCACTCCAAACAGTGTCAGTCTTGCAATCCTACATAAACTTAAAGGTGGAACTCTTACCAATACCTGTTATATATACATGTAGTTCATCATTTTAACAATACCCAACAATGGACCGCTGCTTCAATGTAACACTGTCCTATGTTTAAACAAACTCGTGCATTACACACGCTGCTCATCAACTCATTATGTGTCTAGTAACAAAGGAATACTAGATCTATTAAGCAGGTACAATTTGTGCTGACACAATGTCTGCTGATACCTGCATGCGACACAGTTAAAGGTGGTGTGCTTTAAGCAAGTTTACTATCCAGTTTTCCATCTCTCTCTCTATAAATAGACTACTATGCTGTTTTGACTAATACCAACCATTCATGTATTTCAGTCAGTTTGCAGAATATTGAGTGCGCTGAAATAAGCAGAGTGGTATAAATCTGAGTAATAAACGTCCACGTGTGATATTAATAGAAATTAAAATCTGCATAGTGGATATGGGAATTCATAGCTGATGATTTACAATGTATCTATGAATTCAAATGACAAATGATACAGATGCCGTGTAAGTTGTATCTTTGCGTAATTGAGCATCGAGCAAGTCATCTAAGCCCTACTGTCATCTCTGCTACATCTAATGCCATCTATCTATTATTTCTACCATGTAAACACGTCTGTCAGCTTGCTTTAAGACTGGGTTCCCATAAACCTATTGTACTAGCAGGACCGATCTAGCTCCTAAGGGGATTCTCGTTAAATAGCATTCAGTTTAAGCAGCTTTAATGTCTGTCACGCTCACTGAAGCTGCTCGGGAGTAATTAACTTTCATGCATGTTTAAACTGAATGAAATTTAGAGAAAATCCCCTCGGAGATAGATCGATTCTGCTAGTATGATAGGGTTATGGGAATGATCCCTAAGAGGGGTGTGTAAATGACTACATTATAAACTCTGCCTTTTAACTTTGGTTTTGTACATCGTCCAGAGTGGGTGGGTTTTCAGCTGGCACAACACTAAGCACTCACATGTGTCACATGTTCAGTAATATCAAAACAATAGCAGACATCTTTCTTTTATGACAGTGTGCCAATGTGGAGAGCGAGTGATTACCTTTGAAGACTGCCACTAGTTCAACTGCACTTTGCAATGTATAGCTCATGTGGGAACTCACAAATTTGAATATATGAACTAATTTGAATTGGACAGTCTATTTTGTATAATTTGAATGATTAAATGCTTAAACCACTCTTCTTTTATTTTTTAGTAGAAAATTTTATAATTTTATAGTTTTAGTTATTTTTATCACTCTTTTCATTGCAAAAAAAGAAAAAAAAAATATATATATATATATATATATACATACATACTTTTTTTTATTTATAATCCTCATCTTTTAGGACCTGACTCTGATATTGTTTGTTCACTTTATGATAAACTCATGTGCTGTTCAAAACCCCTTCCGACCCCCCCCCCTCCAGCTTACGGCCCTGTATTAGATCCTAGCATAATGAGAGCTCAAAAAAGGCAAGCATCAAGGACAGCTCAAAGTTCACCATATGTCGCCAGTGATGGATGCCGTAAATGGGATCATATGACGGGATGATGTGGCATTATATCAAATGTAACAAAGTGACATTCTTTGGATAAATGAGCCGGGGACCGACTTTATTGAAAACTGGAATGGCGGGATACTAAGAACACCAAACTGCATACATTTAGTCAGGATTCTTAAAAGATCTCCACATTAAATCTCAATGCCTGGCACAGACAGAGTTATCTAAAGTAATTGTTAAATGCAGCCCAGTAGATGACATAGAGCAAGTGTCCAATGGCTTCTTTTGAGGCTTTCAATTGGTGTATATTTGGCCAATTCACAATCTGTCTCTACAAGACTTGGGTCATAACACCTGGTTAAGGAGCGGCCCCACCCATACTCATACCCCAGTTCATGAGTACTGATCGCAAAAAGATTAAGAGTGACCCAAACAAATTGAAAATAATGCTCTTTCTCTCTCCGTATGTTACATAAGACTTGACTCGCGACTAAGGCCTTGATCTATCTTCGGACAACAAAATCTAATAATATTATTCCAATATCAAATCCATGGGAATCTCGAGTCCTACCTTTTATCATCAAGAACTTGACTGCATCCAGTGTGAGCATGGACAATTGAAAAACAAACAGATCATGGCGAATAAACTGGTATTTCAATGCATAAGGTTTCCTTTTACTTCATAGGGGCGGCTTTGTGAGGGAGGGGGGTTCTTTTGATGAACTCTTTTATGAAAAGCAGTCAATTGGAAGCACTTACCCAGTGATCCAAAACCATTAATTCAAGGAGGAACTGGGGCCGAAATTGCCGAAAGGCCCATGCCCCAGGCAAAAAGTCCCAGTCGCGCCACCCGGCTGATTTTAGCTCCTAAAGCCATTCATGCTACAGCACCAGGGGGTGACTTTAGCCAAGGGCTAGACAGAAGCCAATGACCACCTTGCAATTGTAAGGCTACATATGTGAAGGCAACTTCATAAAAAAAATTGAGATCTGAACCATTTCCCTCTTAATATAAAACTTTTTGATCTGAACCATTTCAATCTCCCCATGTACACGTCCAACTGAGATGCTATTAACATTCTATACCAAGAACACAGCTATACACCATATATTTCAGAAAATATTCAAAGCCTTACGGGCATATAATAAATTTAAACAGAAAATCTAAATTTTTTAAGTGTAAGTCTGTACTTTTTTAATAAAATGTCAGATCACATTGATGCAATACATAAACCATTAACATTAACACCTCACACAAGAGATTTACAACTTTACACAAACAATTATATTAATTGATATGTATATATATACATAAAAATCTATTTGACGTAGAAGACAAAAATCATAAAAAATGCAAAAAAAAGTTGTTTCATATAATGATACTCTTAACATTTCTGACCAATTCAAGGATATCTTAATGCAAAAGGCAACATGCCGTGAAGGACATTCAAATCATGTTCTCATGGGTGGTGAAATTTCATGACTGAAGGGGTGTATTCATGCCATTCAAGAAATCAAAAGGCATGGAAGTGTCTTTAATTTAAACATAACCTTTTCCTCCCAAATCCTCTTTCCAACAACAATCTCCTTTATGCTAACAAACACTCCTGTCAGGTAAAATAGATCATTTCCTTGTGGATATAGTCCAGTTCATGTCAAGTGATATTGCTACATTTAAAAAGAACTAGTCTTAAAAAATCAAAGATGTTTCTTAAATTTCATCTTAGACTTACTTAAAACATCATTTTTGTAAAAAAACTGCCTGTATATTCAGTGAATGGGGTCCTCGTCATGCAGAGACAGAGATTAACACTGTTTTTTTAAGGAGTGCGCAGGTGACAACATTATCCGTTACCAACTGGTTACACAATCAACTTAAGAAATTGTAAACAAGGATTTCTGGATCAGTGAGTATATAGTTCTGTGTGGCTGCTCCCGTCCCTTCATAAAACATGGCAAACTTTTAGGGCAAAAATGAAAAGAACAGGATCATAAGAAATATGTGCCACAGACACAGCGAATTTAACTCTGTTTGCTAGCAACCTCTATGTGTCACATAGTAAAAGGCTATGGGTTTTCAAGTCTTTTTGTAAGCAAACATCAGCTATCAATTGAGAGATCTAACTGCAAGAAAGCATACTAAAGTGTGAGGTAGCATAAGTCTTTCTTATTCTTTGGTAACCATTTTTTTTTCTTCGAATTTTTGAATTTTATAGTCAATAAGAAGAATTGGTACTGGCACCTGGTAAAAAATTACGATAACCCTTAAATCCTGGATGGGGGCCACTAAGACGTGCTTAGATGTACTCCACAAACAAAAAAGTTATATACTACATGACAAATGAAAAAACTGCTTTAGGGGCAGTTCTAATGAAAATAAAGTGAACAAATGGCATCCCATTATTAACAAACAAATCTCTAGCAAGGGGCGATATTCTTAACCTTGATTATCATTAAGAAAATGTCAGGCATCTCATTCTCCTCATGCTTCATACCTGTCTTTCCAAATAGCAGCACCCTTGTAGAGAGCACCTACGGGCTTTTAGCACCTATTACGACAACTCAACTGATTTCAATCAACCACAACTTGATTTCTTGTCCACATGCTACGGACTATGCATGATACTGAATATGCAATCAAATTACCCTATGCCATTAGAACAATTCAGATCAGTCACATAATAAGAACAAAAGTTAACCAATAAATCATATTTATATATTATATAAACATTCAAGATTATTTCATGATCAGTCCTTGGTAAACAATTGCCATTCTGTCCTATACAAAACAGCCACCAACCAGTGCCAAGAGTGGAGTCTGTCATTCCACCGATATGTGTTTTAGCAAAATATTTCACCTTACTGGTGACCTGAACTTTTACACGAGGAATGCTGGAGCCACAAGTATTGTGTAGCACACTTATATTGAAAGCTGAGGCAGCCATTGAGCCTCCTTAAAATC